TTCATTGCACAAAATTTGTAACAATGTGTTACTTTTGTTGAGCCGAGATCAGTTTAGAATGGTGTTTTCAAAAATCAACCCACAAGAGAGTTACGGGGTGTTATAAATAAAAAAATTTCTTTTTTTATCAGCTATTAAACTTTCAGACATAAAATTTAAGAAATATGGTTTTTTGTTGTTGTTTAGCTGAGATATGAAAAAAGAGGGGTTTTTTTGTTTAATTTGTAATTCACGTAAAATTAACTGAATAAAAACTTCTTTATCCTTCAATCTGTCTTGTTTAATTTTTCAATTCACCCATGCGAAGAACGTGTATACTAACTAGTATATATATATATATATATATATATATATATATATATATATATATATATATATGCGCACACAATTTGAATCATGGTGTAATACCAAGTGGGGACAGAGATAATATCGGCTTTTTTGGATTATCTCTCCATTTTCATTTATTCTCAACCAACAAATTACTCATTAACTTGCCAATCCCTGTTCTTTATCGAATATTTTCAAGAACTGATATTCCTGCCTTCAATGAAAAATTCTAGCCTTCCCCACAAAGAAAATCCCGGATGAGAAGTATTTCAGCGCTATGGACAAACTGCATGTCTTAAAACCCACTAATACTAATAATCTCATCAGAAGAATTAAAAATATGGGCAAATTAAAAATAGAAAGAAGAAAATATCAAAGCCCGTACAGCGTACGGTTATACCGGTTGTGACCTGCTTTCGATAGCCCGTACGGTGTACGGGCAAACCAGTTAAGATGGTAATATTTGTGGAGGTATACAATGACGAATATTTCAGTTCGGCAGCTCCAATGTTAATGTAGTTTTAATACAGTAATTTTTTTAATGGAGGAAATTTCATGTAACTAAGCGTAAATTTTGCTGCAAAAATGAAATCAAGATATGAAGCATTTGAGAGGGTATAATGCCAAAGGAGTACTATTCATTATAAGCACCTGCAGCATTTATACTAAACCTCATGGTAGTTTTTATTCATTTCCTTCTACTATAGGTCACACTCTCTATATAATTATTTATTTATTTATCTTGGTGTAATTTTCAATCGTTAATAAAATACATTTTAAAGAGTTCCATTGAGCTGAAATTTTATATACATGATTATTTTGAATGGAAATATAATAATTTAATTATAATTAATAAAAATTAATTGATTAAAACTAATTACTTTAAAATTTACAAATACAGCCACGTTGGCATTATTTTTGGCGATTTGTGTCAAAACTTGAAAAAGTTTTTTTCTCATGTTTTAAAGCATTCAGTTGAACTGAAATTTAATGTACACGATTGGTTTGGATGACAATACGATACTTTAATGATAATTAATAAAAATTAATTACCACTTAATATTGTGATTATCATATGTATATACATATTTATAGTAATTGTAACTATTTAAAATAAAAAGTAGCTACAATAAAATTTTTCTTTGTTGATATAAGTAGGAATTGACTTAATTTTTTTTATATTACTTGTTTTTGATCAACTCCTTGCCTTTTGTTTTATTTTTAATATATTTCTAGATTCAACACATTTTACAATTATTCCATAAATTTATATGTGACTCATACAGAACGCACTCCAACAAAGCATTTTTAGCAAAAGTTAATTTATCTTATGTTTCTTTTGCATTTTCTAGGGATTTGTGTGTGTGTGTGTTACAGAATTTTATCCTCGAAAATCATCCAACTAAACAACACAGCGCAAGAACATGCAATGTTCTAAATTCATGTGACATTTATAGTCGCATGAGAACCGCAAACAAGTGTTTCCAGCTAATCAGCTCATAAGTTTATGTGACATCACATGATGGCATTTATCAGTCACATGATAAATGCAATGGCGTGTTTCAATCAGTTCAAGCGCTACGCTGTTGCCGACTTTTAAAATTACACTTTTAATTAAAAAATTTTTTTTAATTTTTGAATAACTTTTTGAAAATTTTAATTGGTGGACATCTTTACCCCAAAAAAAAAATATATGAAACTTTATCTGCATTTTATAAGTAGAGCAAAAGGTACGAGTATGATGTCAGTTTTGGAAGCAGTGATGGACACGAGATTATATTTATCATGTGACAGTCATGAATATAGCCCATTACGTTAAAAATTTTGAGTCATATATTTACATAACTTGCATAATTAACAAAGATATTGATATCCCAATATTAAATGTATCTACATTTTCGTAGCGTTATAATTTACCACTTTGAGAATGAATTCAAGAAATGTTTGGTATTCTAAATTTATAGTTATATTTAAATTTCTTTTTTTTAATTTTGTAATTGTAGATTTAAAGTATAAAGTATTTATATTAATATTGTTTTGGTTAAAAATTATCTTTCTTATATCATTATCGTTTGCTTTAATTCATTAATTTATGAAACTCTGATTTATCTGATTATTTAATTTATTTGCTGATATATAATCGTCTGCTGTTAAAGTTTTGTTGCTTAAGTTGGCATAGTTTGCAACTTTTTTTAAAAAAAAATTTTCTCAGTTGGAGAAAAATCTTGTAATATGCATATTCGACGCTGGTTAAACTTAATATTAAATTAATTTTTTGTACATATGCGAGATACTATCATATATCTGGAGATACTTTTGATCATTTAGTCACAAATAATAATACTGATAATAATATGTTTTCTTTATTTTTCCACTTGATCATATATGTTTATTAAATACTCACTTAACGTACAACATAAATACCTCTTGTAACCATTTCTATTCAAGTATCTATAGTGAAATCACTTTTTTAAATAAGTTATGCGAACGAAATTTTATTCGCATTTATAAAAGTAAAGAATAACTTGTAATTTTCGATACCAGTAAATTATTTATTTTTAAAAATGTGCATTTAATAAAGTCACTTAACCACTTCCTTATGCATTTTAAATTTATTTTAACTAGAAAAAACTTCTGAGATCTTATTATTTATCAGATACATATGTTCCTTGCTAAAATATACAGCTTTATGATGAAGCTGAAGGATTGTAGTAAGACTGTATTCACTGACTTAAATATAGAAGAAAAGTCTTAAGTTCCTTACTAATCTCTATTCTCATTTTTCTTTACTCACAATAAATTTAAATTAAATCAAGTTATTCAAATTTTATTTGTAAAATGATGGAATAAAATTTTTAGTGAAAGTGAACAATGTGTTTTTTAAACTGTGGGGATAAAATGAAAAATGATTCAGTTACGAAGTAAATGATAAATTAATATGTACATATTATAATCTAAAAAAATTCATTAATTTTTAAAATACAAGAACAGTAATTTTTTATAAATGTTTTTAATTGTATGAAGATAATTCATCATAGAATACCATTCTGTAGCCATAATGTTCTTAGAAAGAAAAAAAAATTCCAAATATACAATCTTTTTTCTATGGAAAGTTATTTAACACATTCTGACAATGCTATAATTCTGAATTTCATCTTTTTATTTCGATTTCCACAAAAATAACTACAGTTAACAACTTAAGCAACATTAAATAATAAACATAACAAGATACATTGTCAAAAAATATTTTATATAAAATTCCTTTCAATCAAAACATCCACACTCACAAATCATTCATCTTTACACGGTATTCCTTACTAAGAAAATATAATTTTCAGAATATTTTCTACGCAAATCAACATTCAAAAGGCTTCTTTCGCAAAAATGTAAATTATGTAAATTCATTCATGAGAATGGAGAAGTCATTCGTAGTCGAGACTCATGTAATCAATGAATGTATACTTTAAAGTGGGAGAAAGTATACTCTTCATGGTATAGTATTGATCTGTCTACGTGTGTTATTAGTTTTAACTAACATTACTTTAAAAATTCTTTATTTAGTTGCGCAGAAATCAATAGTCGCGAGGACTGTAAATGAAGCTTCACTGCAGATGTAAAAGCACGCTAAGGAAAATGACTTTTCAGTAAGAAAATTGAAGTTTATCGTAAATGTTCGGTATTTTATTACTTTTTTTTTTTCAATTCCTACTATTAGCTTATATATATATATATATATATATATATATATATATATATATATATATATATATATATATATATATATATATATATAAAGGAGAAAAGCAACTCACTCTCTCATTGACTGACTAATCACAATATCTCCGGAACTATTAACACTACAGACTCGAAATGTGGTATAGGCAGGTTCCCTTCATGGAGTAGACATCAGCTTAGAAGGGATTTTGCAAAGATCGAACCCCAAGGGGCAGTACGGGAGTTCAAGGGGCGCTAAAGATAATTAGTTCCATTATTAAACTATTAGATGAATAGTCTTGAAACTTGATGCGCCAATTCCTTTCATAGAGTACAGATTCCCTACAAAATGATTTTTACGAAAATCGACCTCCAAGGGGCGTTGAGGGCGCTTAAAGGGCGCGTTATGCAGAATTATTTTCATTTTTAAACTATTAGATGTACAGTATTGAAATTTGGTAAGCGGATTCTTTCACAGAGTAGAGATCCGCTAGAAAATGATTTTTATGGAAATCGAATTCCAAGTGGCGTAGTGGGGACTTAAGTGGTGTTATAGATAATTATTTCCATTTTTAAACTATTAGGCGTATAGTTTCTAAATTTGGTACGCAGATTTATTTCCTGGAGTAGATGTCCACTACAAATTAGGTTCATTAGAAGTTTCTTTATCCTTCCATATCTATAGTTTTATTTTTCAATTTACCCGTGCGAAAAACGGGTATACCAGCTAGTATATATATATATATATAATGAGTTCAAATTTTCAATCGTTCATAAAATGCTTTCTATTCATCTCTTCAAGTTCAAATACATTTTTTTAAACTTGTAGTGAATGACACTTCACGTTAATACAGTTTTTTCAAATATTAGTTCGTTAGTTAAACTTAATTAATGAATAAATAGTAAAAAACAAAAATAATAGACCAAAACCATATATAAAAAGGGAAATTGCTCGTTGTATCCCTGTTACGCAATGGATAGCGCGTTGGACTTCTAATCCAAAGATCATGGGTTCGAGTCCTACCTGGGATGGCCTAATTTCTGAGAATTTGATTTATGTATGAATAAATAGTAACAAACAGAAATAATAGTCCAGCAACATATAAAGAAATTAAATCGCTTCTGTTTTTGAAAAGTTTCTTTCTCTTCCGGACAAAAAGGATATAAAAAAAGGGGGATTTGAATTTTTTCGAATACAAATTAATAGAAACATTTTTTCCAGCTTCTGAAATAGTTCGTTAATTCAGGAGTTATTTTATCATTCAATAGGGGTGTTTGCCTTTATTTTAATCGGAGAAAGAGAAAAATTCGTTAAATAGGGGTTCGTTAAATCGGGGTCCGGCTGTATTTATAACTGTGATTTCTCTTAAATTAGTAACATAGACAAATAAAGGGTAAGGTTGGCACTCTTTCAAAATTAGTTTCATCCTATAATCGTCGTCTTAAGCTTAACAATTTGTTAATGTATTACTGTAGCTTTTTTAGCTTCCTTGACCTATTTTGTTTATTGTTTTGCTTTTAGATTGATTTATAGTATTTAAGTTTAATTTTGACTTGTATACACAAATATATATACAAAACCATATATGAGTGAGTATTTGACCATTCAACATATTTCTTGATAATTTTTTATTATAGTATCTGCAGCATATATTCTAATCTTATGTTTGGACAGAAATACAGAAGGAATACAGAAAAAGAAAAAAAAGAATTATATTTTTATCGAATTATATTCTTCTTATTTTACACTGAAAGTTTTAGAAAATGTTCAAATAACTTTTTTTTTGTTTGCCACATTTCTGGATTCTTCTTATTTTTTCATCGGGAAATGTATCCTAAACTTCCCACTTGCAAAACATATTTTAAGAAATAATTCGTGGAAAACGAATATGACAGCCACCAAACAAATAATAAAAACCTAAATTATTTATTTCCAGTTCAAAAATAAAAAACAGTTCTTAAATTTAGTTATATAAAGCAAAAAATAATTTGTAAGAAAAAATTCAATACCATTGAATAAAAAAAAACTCTTATTTTAATATTTTTAACAGAGGAAATTTAAATTCATTCCATTTTGTGCATCAAACAAAATCATCTTTTAAATACGCTTTTTCTAGCTTTCCGTATCATCATCTCTCTCTTCAAAGCAGCCGTTTTTCCAGTTCCCCAACCACTCCACAAATATTTTCACAAAGGGCTTGGATAACCCAACTGTAAAATCCATCATCGCCTTTCATCCTCTGTAAATGTCTCTCTACCACCAAAATCATCTGGTTTTGCTTAAAAATAAAAAGGAATGTTTACAGAAGCTCCCTCGAAACTCTTAGAATGGGTGTAAGACTGGATGAAAGATTGGAATTATTTAGCAAAGAGCAAGATGTCGGGTTTATCTAAATTGAGTTTGGGATTCTAGGTGTTCGTTCTATTTGTGGAATATAAATAAACACTCAGAAAGCGGTTTTCGGGTACACTCCAAGTGAAAAGTAGAATTATATACGTGTTTTTGCTTTTAATATGGACTCAGTCAATGTTATTTTTATATTTAAGTTTGATAATAAATGAATAAATGTACAGATTATTTAAAATATTAAGTTTTATTTTTATTTGTTTACTAGCCGTTATTATTGATATCTTAACATTTAGAATTCTATTGTATTGAAAAATATTCTTATACGTCTTGATTTAAAAACACAGAACTTCCAAATAATAATTTCTAAAATTGAAATAGAATTATCTTTTACTCTTTCGAAACACCTTCCAAGTGGATTTACACAAAACCCATTTTTAGTGGATCTGTACTCAATATAATAAATGTGCTTGCTAAAATTCTAGTCTAAATCTAATAGATCGAAAACGGAACTTTTTATCAATATGCTCCAGTAATCACCTTTGAGACTTGATTTCTGTAAAAACCGGTCGACAAATTCGCTCAATTCAATAACAGAGACATATATACCAAATTTCATTATTGTAGGTATAGTAGTTCGAAAACGGATATTTTTTTTATCAGTACCCCACAAAAGATTCCATTTCCCTCATAGGAATCGATTTCCGTAAAGTCTTTTCAAAGCGAATTTCCACTCAACAAAAGTAACATGTCAACTAGATTTTCTTAAGGTAAGTAGTATTTAGATAACGAATCTTTTTATAATCCCAGCAATTCCCCTTTCCCTTCCCCATAGGAGTCAATTTCCCCAAAATCCGATCTTAGCGGATCTACATTCGACAAAAGAAACATGCTTACAAAATTTCAAGTCTGTACATCTAACTTATCCTTTCGTGGATAGGTGGAGAGAAAAAATTGTATTGAGTTGGTTATACATTTGGGATAATGGATACATCTGCGTATGAATTAACTTTGAAGAGGAAAAACTAATTTCGCTCTGTGATATTTGAGATTTAATTTTAAAACATTTAGAAGAGTCAACGAATTCATTTTGGATTAAAATTAGAGGCGGTTATCTTTTAATAGCCAAACAAAAGCTTTAAAAATATTTTTACAATTTTCCACATTTTATGTGAGTGAATTCACGTGAATTTTTAGCATTAAATATAAAAATGAAAAATAGATGGAGACTTTTAAATGTATGTAACGAAATGAGAGTGGCATTATCATTTTTACGACCCAATATAAACTAAGATTAAAAATCATCAAGCTCAAATATCCCATTAAATGTATTCTTATAATTAATTTGTAATTAGTTATTCAATAGACATTTTGTTTGTTTGTCGTGCATATTTTATAAAACATTGAAAGTTATTATCGTAAACTATTTTACATATTGTATTACAGGTAATTAAAATTCTTTTAAGCTTGTTTTTTTGTTAGTGTGCCACCAAATTTTGAAATTATTAAAAGTGTACCGCAACAAAAATAAATTTAGCAGAAATCACTGTTGTAAATTAACAATTATTATGTCTAAATATCATCTCTTCAAGTAAAATGGGCGGGGAAAAAGTGTTTTGATTTTAAATACATGTTATATAATTTCTCAATCAATAACTTGAGGTTTCATGAGGTTAAAATGATTAAAATGATGTTCCTAGACATAGAAAACAACAAAAAAGATGATACATTTTTCTTACCAAATTTCTATATTTTCAATCGTTCTAAATTCCAAGTTAATTCACTACTCCCAGAACATCAATGAAGGTAACATTTTTATCAACTTTAAAAAAGGAAAGAGTTACATCTATAGAATATACAGTTATAGATTCTGACAGAAAGCATGTGAGAAGAAACATATTAGTAACCAAGATCAAAAAGGAAATCGAAATGGAATTTAATAATTGCTATTCCGTGAGTAACGCAATGTCTAATTTTATACCACACAATTTCACTGGATGATGTTATAGCTGTATTAAATACGGTGGTTGAGTATTAAGCGCATTTAGTGTATGTTTCTGACACAATTTTTTTAACGCATAAACCACAAAAAGTCATTTTTTTCTAATTAGATTTCATCGTAGAAGATTGCCGGAGGCTAAATGCGTAATGCTGCCCAAAATGTTACAGTGATCTCATTCTCTTAAAAAAAAAGGGTAACATTATGGAGTAAAAACTCTTTTATTTTTTGTAATAATATATAATATAGTCACAATATTTTGAGATTCAACTGGTGTATTTTAACAAGTAATATCAAAAGAATTTTAAGTCAATTCCTACTTTGAATGGATGAATAGAAAATTTTAACAAGATATATATATATATATATATATATATATATATATATATATATATATATATATATATATATATATATATATATATATATATATATATAAAGAGTGTTTTTTTCCAGGTATAGAAGTTTAAGTTGGCATTACTTTCCAAGATGGCGACCGATTTAACAGCAGTCAAGTGATATATTCTCAGTTTGGTTTGGCAATTCATCAAAATGATCATCAAGCAAGGCGTAGATTCGTCGAATGGGCCCAAAACGAGATGGCCGTTGTTCCCGATTTTCATAAGCGAATTTTGTTTAGCGATGAAGCGCACTTCTGGTTGAATGGCTACGCCAACAAACAAAACTGCCGCATTTGGAGTGAAGCTAATCCACAAGTGTATGTCGAAACACCATTACATCCAGAAAAACTGACTGTTTGGTGCGCTTTCTGGGCTGGTGGAATCCTTCTTCAAAAACGATGAAGGCCACAACGTTACAGTCAATGGTGATCGTTATAGAGCCATGATTACTAACTTTTTCATTCCTGAATTGAACAATCATGATGTCCAGGAGCTGTGATTCCAACAAGACGGCGCAACATGTCACACAGCTCGTGCCACAATCGATTTATTCAGACACGTTTGGTGACCGCCTAATTTCACGTTTTGGACCTGTGAATTGGCCTCCGAGATCTTGTGATTTAACAACGCTAGACTATTTTCTGTGGGGTTATGTAAAGTCATTGGTCTATGCGGATAAGCCACAAACGCTTGACCATTTGGAAGACAACATTCGCCGTGTTATTGCCGATATACGGCCACAAATGTTGGAAAAGTCGTCGAAAATTGGACGTCCAGATTGGACTACATCCGAGCCAGCCGTGGCAGTCATATGCCAGAAATCATATTTAAAATGTAATGCCACAAGACTATCTTTCGAATAAAAAAAATTCATGTCAATCGAATAATACATTGTTGTTTTATTGCAATTTAAAGTTCTATACCTCTAAAAAAACACCCTTTATATATATATATATATATATATATATATATATATATATATATATATATATATATATATATATATATTACAACAATGTAGTTACAACAATGCAGACAAATCATGCTCTCTTTTCAATTCCTATTAGTAATTCACTCTCTCCCTATATATATATATAGGGAGAGAGTGAACTAATAATATAGGAATTATATATATATATATATATATATATATATATATATATATATATATATATATGTATATATATAGGGAGAGAGTGAACTAATAATAGGAATTGAAAAAAGAGCATGATTTGTCTGCATTGTTGTAACAGTGCACACCCGGTTTGGCTGAAAAACCGTTTTT